CCGCCCATGTCACGCCTCCGGTGCGACCCCCACTAGGGGCGTCGAGGAGCATGCTCCCTTGTAAAATTTTGAAATCCAGAGCCTTGGAAACAGCATTTCTTGTGATTTCGAGGGCGAATTATTTGTGAATAGATATTTTATACAAAGAGCTAAGCCGACCTTGACTCATTCTATTACTCAAATAGCTTTTTACCCTTTTGAAGCAAGAAAACAACCTCTCTACTGAAGCACTTGCCACTGTCAAGACAACATTCAATTTTAACAAATTTACCGCTTGACGTAAACTCGACTGGAGATTAAATTTGTAGATGTATTTCAGCACCTCATTACTTCACTCTTTGTGAAAGTCCTTGTAGTTGTAAATGAAGGAAAGTTGACTCTCCAATGTTTGGATGTAAAAAAGAGGACTATACTTATCTTTGAGAAGATTGATCTTCTCCTGTGGAACTATGCCCTTCCATGTAGTAAATAGTTTAGGATTGGCAAGTTCTAAAAACTCGAACTGATTAATATCTTGAAATCGTTCACTTAACATGCCTTTAATGCAATTAATAATCTCAAAATAAAGCTGTTTGTAGTTGTATCTACTATCTGCTCTGGTTGCTCTTTGGCCTACTTTTTCTAGTGCAGTTTGGTAAAACTCAGTGAAAACTTGATCTGTGCGAAGTGATACAATAAGCTGCTTGAAATTGTCAATCTTGCTTATGTCATAATTAAAATGGGTTTCCCTATTTTGAAGAACGGAATACAAAATTGTGGACTAAATCCTCTAAAATCCTGTAAAAAGCACACATTAGAAAACAGAAAGAGAAAGCTATCAAGATAATGCAGTAAGCCACCTATTTTACTTAATGACTCTACATCCCACCCTGCTGATTGTTCAAGTACCCTCTCAAAAATATCTAAAAGTTTTTCATAATTTTTGTGCAATACATTGATTAATCTAGAGCAATAATACTATCTTGTTTCACCAGGGGCAGGAAACTCAAGGCTGTTAGATGTGAGAAAAGCTTTTCTTTTTGGGGCATTGCTTGTAAATGTGCTGAATGTACCTATATTAATGAAAAAGATTTTAACAGGAGAAATTGATGAGGCTGACTGGCATAGGACCAGGTTCAATCTATAAGCTGCACAATGAACAAAATGGGCGAAAAGATACTCTTGTCGAACCGATGCTTGAACACCATTGCTATGGCCCGACATGACAGAAGCACCATCATATGTTTGCAAAACCCGTTTTTCTTTTATATCAGAATACTAACCAAGTTTATCTTTGACAACTTGTGATATTGCTGTGGCATTTCTGTTCATACTTACATCCACAAATCATAATTTTACTTGCTTTGTCAAACCGAGCAATAACACTTAGCTGGTGGACACATCAGATGATTCATTAAGCTGAATATTCACAAATGTGCAATCATTTATTTCCTTTCTGAATATATCTTCAATCATCGAATCAAGACAGCTGATGAAATAATTTTGAATTTCTGGGGAGACTCCAGTAAATCTTCTGTCACCAACTATATCAGATTTTGCTAGTCTACTGTGCAGTCGACGCTCAAATACAGAAACAAACTTAGCAAATTATTTGAGCAACTCTCTATAATTACCTTTGTTCAAGCTACCTTCGGACTCATCGTGACCTCTAAATGGCAACTCTTGCTTTAAAAAATACAGCACTGCCTCAGTAATAGTTTTTGACATTTCTCGATTTTGTCCTACCTCCTCATTGTGACGCTGAATCTCATTTCTTCTCGCGAGAGACATAAGACAATCAATTCTTTCATTAGCTCCATACATTTTCCATGTCTTAAAAGCAGTCAAATGCGATTTAGATTTTTCATGCTTCTTAGCATCAGACATAATACTTCGCATATCGTTGTAGCCATTCTTAGTCCATGACGGCGAAGTTTGCGGGAAAACATTAGACATGGCCAACAAAACACTTTCTGCAAGGTTGTACTGCCACACAGCCAGTCCTTCGCCTCATGCCAATCTCTCTGAAATGCTAATCCCTTATTTTGAATTCTTAAATCAGGAGCAGGCCGTTCATGAACGATAACATTCTGTTCGACCGAAGATCGAGCAGAGAACGGTTTAGCTAATAAGCTATTTACTAAATCAACATCGGTTAAGCAAATCGCAGTCGTATACATGACAAATCTTGAGATTTTGCGGTATTACGATTACGAGCCACCGAATTAAAGCGTAAAAAGGAACGAATAAAACATAATATTACAAATTGTTTGTGAACTAATGTATATCTCATCTCCAAATATAATATTTACTATTTTTTGGGAAATTTTTACTCCCGCCGGGCGGTAGTAGCGGGACCGCGAGCTACGCCACTGGAGATATGGAATATAATACAGTATAAGAAGATATGAATAAAGTATTTACATTGAATTGGAGTGTGATCTATTTAAAGGAAGTTTAAAACAAAAATATATATAAATATTCTCTTTGAGTTGGTGAGAGGATAAGTGACAAAAGTGATAAGTGATAAGATGATAAGTAATAAGTGAAAGTGATAAGTGATAAAGAGGATAAGTGACAAATGTGATAAGTGATAACTGATAAAAAACGTTGCTCTGCCGTTTACTCACAAGGAAACCGTCACAAACGTAGGCTCCGTCCACACGTATACGGATATTTTTGAAAACGGAGGTTTTTTCCTCCGTTTTGGCCTTACGTCCACACGTAAACGGCGTTTTCGGTGACCATAAACGGAGGTTTTCGAATACGCTCTCCAGAGTAAAGACTTTCGAAAACGCTGGTTTTGTGTTTACGTGTGGACGGGCGAAAACGGAGGTTTTTTATTAATGAATGGTCTAGGTTTTACCATCAAGCCTCCTAAAGTGAATAAGAGACCATTGGATGCGTTCAAAGGTGGCAAATATGTCGGTTTGAAAGAATAACTATACGACCAGGAAGATTAACCCTGTTGAAGAACGAACTAGCACACATGGGACAAAGTTACATACCATCATACCAACCAACTCCATCCGATCTGAAGAAATACCACATATTTAGAAAGCTACGCATCAATGATTACATAATAGCACTTAAACTAGATAAAGGTAACGGAATAGTAAAAATGAGTAAACTTGCCTCCAAAACGCTTGCCTCTCAATCATTAATGATACCACAAAATTTAAACCTTTAAGTAATGATGTCACCTTACTAAAAGAAGGGAAACTACAGAGATTCCTACGTAAACTTAAATAACAAGGTTCTTTAGACAACATAACGTATTCTAGACTTTTTCCCCCTTGTTCACAACTTTTTAGATTTTATGGTCTACCAAAATTACACAAACTTAGCGACGACACACACACCCCGCCATTACACCCCATTATTTCATTAACTAAAACCTACATTTACGATCTTGCAGAATATCTTTGCACACGTCTTGCTCCACTTCTTCCAAATGACTACACAACTAAGGATTCCTTCTCATTTGTTGGGGAGCTCAATGGTCTATACAACAATAACAAATTCCTCGTTTCATTCGATGTGCAGAATTTATTCACTAACATTCCCCTATTAGAAACTATAGATATCGCTGCTAATCTCATTCACACCAATGACCATAAATTTCCCATTAAGAAAACAGATCTCACTAAACTATTTCTCTTCGCTACAGCAGAAACGCACGTTTTATTTGATGGCTCATATTACGATCAGACAGATGGCGTTGCTATGGGTAGTCCTTTTTCACCGGTTTTATCCAATCTATTTATGTGTCATCATGAACGCACTTGGTCGTCAAAGTATCACGGTTCAAGTGTTCTATTTTACCGTAGATATGTCGATGATATTTTTTGCATGTTTCACACAAAAAGTACGCCGTCTTATATTTCAACTATTTAAACCTTCAACATCCTAATTTCAAATTTACTTCAGAATACGAATCTAACCACCAAATTTCATTTCTTGACATTTTGATCACCAAATTCCCAAACAATTGTCAAACTTCAGTTTATCACAAGAAAGCATACACTGGCTTACTTACTAACTTCCTTAGCCTTTCTCCGTTAAACTATAAAATTGGTTTAGTATGTACTCTTCTTGATAGAACACGCAAAATTAACAACTCCGTCTGATAGTAACATATCCAACTGATTAAAACTCACACATCTTCAAACACCTTCTCTCCTCACATAACTGCAAATCACAATACACCAACAACTGCTTTACAATTATCGACACTGCCAATTATTCTTCCACCCTCAGAATTAAAGCCTTACACATTAACAAACTTAAAACCCGATCTCATTAAGCAAGTTCACAACTTTAATACCATTTTTAATTTGTAAATACTTTTTTTTCCTTTTAATGTATCGTCTAACTTCCATATGTTAATTAACTGTAAATATTTGTAATGCTGTCCTCATCTCAGTTAACTATAAGTCGTCTATCTCTATTTATATATTTAAGTTTCACATTCTGTACCACATTCATTTGCCCTGATGATAGCATAAGTTTGCCGAAACATGTCTGTAATAAAAAAGTTTGTTTTAAATACTTTCTTCATATCTTCCAATACTGTATCATATTTCATATCAGATATCCCTATCATTCGCACTGAAGATGGCATTCTGTTAATGTCGAAACATGTTTGCTTTTAAAAAAATCATCGTTTTTATTAAGTGTTTTTTAAATTTGTTGCAACTCAGAAATTATATAAATGTTTTTACAAATATATTGTTTTGCACTAAAAAAGCTTGGAACCTTATCTTCTTCGCAGGATGATAACTCTATGTAAAAATTTCGGCAAACTTTTGCTTTAAATTTGAATTATTTGTAAAAAAGCATTCTCTTGCAATACTATTCCATATTGATTTTGTGAAAGTATCTTGCTGGGAAGTCACGAATGCGTAGTGAACAAATACGCCACGATTTTAGCCGAATGGGCCTTCTGATGTCTATTCTATGGCTGCAATCTACTACAAATTCAGCCGTGAGCGAGACCTGTTGAATTAACCCATTGTTGCATGGTGTTGCTCGTGGGCAACAATTATAACGAACACGTTAAAGTGTTAAAGTGCACGAACACGAGCAAACCAAGAATTATATCACTGTACACACAATTAACATCTTTTATGAAATTAGCAAATGAAACTGTCGCCGATTATTTAATACGAGCTGAGACAGCTGCAACAGCCTTAAAGAATGCGGGTGAAATTGTGAGCGATGGATTATTGATAGCTATGGTACGAAAGGGACTTCCAGAATCGTTCAAACCTTTCTCTGTGTTTGTTACCCATAGCGAGACTAAACAATCATTTAGTGAATTTAAGCAAGGGTTACGTAGTTTTGAAGAAAGTGAACGAGCCCGAGACGATCATCGTGGTGAAGATTCGATCTTCAAGTTTGATACCAAGAAATTCAGTCATGATAATCACGGAAAAGAGAAGAAAAAGTATTACTCATGTGGAAAACGGGGACATTTCGCTAGACAGTTCCCAAAAAAAGGAAAACCGAAAAAGATGTGGTGCAAAACATGTCAAAGTTCAACCCACGATGAAAGTATATGTCGAAAGAAGAGAATGAAAGAAAAGACAAAGATGAGGTAAAACTGACATCAAATTTTGGTGAAGAGCATTCCTTTGCATTCCAAGTTAAAGTAGAAGAAAATGTTAAAGATAAGAGATTTCAAGATATGTTATTGGTTGATTGTGGAGCAACATCCCACATTATCACTGACGAATCCAAGTTTACAAGCTTCGACGATGCATTCAAACCCAATTCACATTACATTCAGTTGGCAGATGGCACAAAGTCAAACAATGTGGCACTAAAGTGGGGTAATGTAAGCATACACATAATTGATTCCACAGGGAAATGTACAGCTGTATCTTTGAAGAAAGCACTGTACATGCCTTCCTATCCACAAGTTATATTTTCTGTGCAAGCTGCAACCGAGAAAGGAGCAAGTGTTGAATTCCACCCACAGTCAGCAGAATTAAAGAGCACTGATGGCGCTAAGTTTAACATAGAGAAACATGGTAAACTTTGTCATTTACCCACCATACCTAACAAAGACCACGAAAATGAAGATTCTGTAAACTACACTAGTGATCTAAAGAGCTGCCACGACATACTAGTGTTAGGTTTTGTGATGTAGCCATCTACCTTCTTTAGTATATATTGACTTACACCAACAAATAGAGATATTACAGATAACTGTTATGATCACATTTAATGTTCAACGTCAATGTCTTTGGTCTACGATCTATCGTACAATGGTTAAAGTACTTCTATTTATACAAGATATTACGTATAGATATATTTGTTTCTTTACTAAACATGGTTAATTCCCAATCAACGGAAAGCTATTAGGAACTATAAAAAATATTGTGATTATTGCACATAAGTATCTCTTAAAACAATCATTTAGTTAGTTACACTTGACCTAATTATTTACTAATTACAGGAAGAGTATTAGAGCATATCTTAACAACTAGGACATTGTAACTATGAGGACAAATGGAAGTTGCAACATGTCGCTGATGGTATAAAGATCAGTGGTAGCAGAACTGCCAAACCAGATTGTGAAACTTGTCTTCAGGGAAAGATGACTCAAAGTAGAAATAGAAATCCTGACATTCGATCAAAGAACCCTTTGGAACTTATACACACCGATCTTGCTGGTCCTATAGATCCTGCTTTAAAGGAAGGATTCAAATACGCTATATCCTTTACAGATGATTATTAAGGGGCTGTTTTCGTGTATTTTCTTAAGAAAAAGTGTGACACTACTGAAGCAACAAAGAAATTCCTTTCTGACTCTGCCCCATATGGAAACATTAAGAGAATGAGACTCGACAATGGTGGTGAATTTATCTCCAGTGACTTCAAAACACTGATGCGTAGTAACAGTATCAAGCATGAAACCTCTGCCCCACACTCGCCTCATCAAAATGGCACTGCGGAGCGCCATTGGAGGACACTATTTGATATGGGTAGGTGCTTACTCACAGAATCAAAATTGAATAAGATGCTTTGGCCTTATGCAGTTAAGGCAGCTGCATATATAAGGAATAAATGTTTGAATAACCGCTTAAATCAGACACCGTATTTTGCTCTAACAGGTCGTAAACCAAACTTAGCTAACATGAGGGTATTCGGTAGTGAATGTGTTGCTTATGAGCACTGCAAGCAAAAATTAGATCCTAGGTGTTCAAAAGGAATTTTTGTTGGATTTGACAGCGAAAGTCCAGGGTACTTAGTGTATTTCCCAAAAAGCAATAAGGTTTTAAGGTATAGAATTGTGAAGTTCATCCAGAAGAATGTTTGTGAGCGTCAAACACAGACAACTGAGATAGAAGATTTGGGATTGCCAGTTGAAAGCAAGGGCAGTACAAGGGAGTCAAAATCAATGCATGAAAAAACTCCGAATGTACATGATGCAAATGAGGAGATTGATGTAAGTAAAGGTGAGAGTGAGATTGTAGCATGTGAAGAATCAAATAATAGTTCACGATTAGAAAACAATTTAAGGTACCTGCAACGAGTTAGAAAAGCGCCAGACTACCTGAGTGACCATGCAAAAAGTATTCAAAGTGAGCATGAGCCACCTTTAATGTATACTGATTATTGTTATAAGATCAGCAGATTTCCCCAATCATATGCTGAGGCTATGAACTCCGCCGATGCTAAGCACTAGAAAGCAGCTATGTTAGAAGAAATGAGTTTTCTTAAGAATAACGATTCATTCAGCTTAACCACTTTACTAAAAGGTAGAAAAGCAGTGGGAGGCAAATGGGTATACACCATTAAAGATGTCCCAGGAAAAGCTAAGACATATAAAGCTAGATTTGTTGCAAAGGGGTATAGCCAAGTTAAGGGCATAGATTATTATGGTACCTTTGCACCTACAGCAAGTATGACTACTGTAGTGCTAATGCAAGTGTTAATACATACGAGTGTTAATGCAAGTGGCTGCCCAAAATGATTTGATTTTGCAATAAATGGATGTAAAGACAGCATACTTAAATGCACCCATAGACTGTGAGATATTTATTGAACAAGCAGAAGGTTTTGAAACCTCTTCCTTTAACTCAGAAGAGAAATTAGTTTATAAGTTAAACAAGTCCCTGTATGGTTTAAAGCAATCAGGTCGAAATTGGAATGTTGTATTACATACACATCTCGTAGAGAATGGTTTTACTCAGAGCAAAGTAGATCACTGTCTTTATTTTAAGAGTGTTAATGAAAGCTTAGTGATTATTCTTATTTGGGTCGATGATTTGATCATTGCGGCAAACTGTGAAAAATCTATGTCAGAAACTAAACAACTGTTAATACGTCGATTCCAAATGAAAGATCTTGGTAAACTTTCATACTTTCTTGGTATTAGGTTTGATCAAGGAAGAGGGTATGTTAAGTTTAGTCAGAGAGATTACCTTGTAAGGTTGTTAGAGAGGTTTGGCATGGGTGAATGTAAACCTAGACACACACCATCAGAGCAAAAGATGAAATTTACCGGGAATAGCTTTGAATGTGTAAGGCAATATCGTGAGTTGATTGGTAGTTTGATCTATGCAATGACATGTACACGACCAGACATATGTTGGACGATTACCGCCCTATCTCAATATTTGGCTAAACCACTTAAGGAGCATTGGGTTGCCGCCAAGAATATTCTGCCTTACTTGAAATGTTCGTTAGATTATGAGATATGCTATCGAATGGGATATCAGAATTTGAAGTTGATTGGTTATAGTGATGCTGATTGGGCTAGTTGTGATGTTGATAGAAGAAGTGTTTGTGGATATTGTTTTAGTTTGCCAAAAAAAGGACCTCTAATTTCATGGAAGTCAAAGAAGCAGCAAACTATTGCGTTATCCTCTTGTGAATCAGAATATGTTGCGTTATCACTTGCTGTTCAAGAGGCATTGCATTTGGTCCAGTTGTTGGGCAAACTGATTGAGTTGAGTTAAAATTTACGAAGACAACCAAGGAACAATAGTATTATCTAAGGATCTAGTTAGTAGACAAAGAACAAAGCATATTGATGTAAAATACCATTTCATTCGTTCGAATATTAATGCAGGAAATGTTGTGCTAAATTATTGTCCTACTAATGATATGGTAGCTGACATCTTCACTAAGCCAATTACTTGTAAAAAGTTAATGAACTTCAAAGAATTCATCTTTGGAAAATGAACTAATGACATTTATTATTATTTAAAGGAAAGCTATACTAAAGAACACTTATATAAACATTTATATAAAGTTTTATGTTATGTTGATCACGAAGAAAATCCAAGGAAACTTTATGAAATTGTGAGATCAAGTGGGGCTGTTGGAGTCTGATCTCAAACTTCCTGGACTACTATGTAAATTCTGATTAATTATTCCATGTGCTTCTCTTCCACTACTCTGTAACATGGCGTGTATTAAACTGTTGTTGTATTGAATCCGTGTAATTATCCTCCATCATGTCAAGGGACGCACCGTCAACACTCCAAACTTTATGTCGGCGATCTCAATTGGCTTCAATTATGGCGGCGAAGTCATCGTTCCAGTCTCCTCAGAGTTCACTGTCTATGACATGTAATAAGATATATGCAAGCTTTATGGCAATTAATGAGGAATAAAATTTTCATCATTAAAATTGCGATAACATGTCATCTCTCATCCACACGCGTTGTACTATAAAAGTTCTGCTTCGAATAGTATTTGTGATATTGCATTAGTGTTACTAGTTTGTCGTAAATAGAAACCAAAGTTTCTTCAACTTTGCCTATTAAACCCTTTCTAATACAATGTTGAAAGAACACCATGCATCCTCGACTCCTCGTAATATAATCAATATAATAATAATTATGAAATTTAAATTCAGGGTTCAAGTAATTCGACGTACACGAAAATTTTTTGTTCTGCAGGTTTTCCACACAAAACGGCACTGAATTTTGGTAATAACGAAGGATCGATAACATGCAAAATGACGTAAAACATGATTTTGACCAAATCAGAAGCTGAGCTTCAACTTACCGATGCCTTCAACTTAGTCAAAACTTGCAGGCAATGACGTACAGTTAAAGAGGCTCTTTGTATCAATATTTTGACGTGGCTTCTTCTATGACGCAAGCTATAGTTTGACAAACTTAATGCAATTCCATTAAAGTTATAGAACTTACAGCAACCATGCTAATTTTGTGAGAAATCTATAAAACTTATTTGGCTTAACACGTGCAAATTATAATGGATCATTGAAAGAGAATAAGTAATTTTCTAGATTTTTCAGCTACGTCATGCGTCGTACTTGACGCAGCCTGGATCCGCCTCTGATACCACTATGAGAGAAGTCTGATACAACTATGAGATAACTACAGATAAGTGAAGACCAAGATGGCGGAAGGTTGTGTTTTATTGTCTCGCGACCAATGTAATTTTACTTGTGATATAGACAGAATTTATAGTTTTAAAGCTTCTAAATGTATTGCCCATGATGGAAAGCGATTAAAATGGAAAAATTGTTTTAAAACATTGCAAGATTTTTTCGAAAATAGCCTTGATCAACGAGGCACCGGGAGGTAGTTCAAAGAGGTTTGTTGGTTCAAGCAATGATTTTGCTTGGACTTGGTACTGTGGTAGACAGAATACGTTGATGTTTCAAGGAGAAAGCGGTAATCAACTAAGATATTGTCTAATTCAAATGTGTGTATCTGCAACTTTGGAAGAATTTAAAGCAAATACAAAGGTATGTTGTAGATGTTAACATCGTATTCCTTCCCAAGCCTCAGTCGGAATGACACCTCAATCGCCGAATGTTAACATTAATGAGTATGTCGAAGATATTAAACTTGATATAGAAATTCTTCAAAGCCGAGTCGATGCACTTCAAACCTTGGAAAACACCCAATATTTTCTCCCCGAAGCAAAGGTTCAAATTTTCATAGACAACATAAAGGCATTACAGGTACAAAAGGATAAAAATATCAAACTTGAGTTGGCAATTAAAGAGCTTAGAACGGATGTATTAATGTTAAAAACGGATTTGAAAACAAAAAGACCGACTGAGCTATTGAAACTAGAAACAATAGACATGAATCTAAAATTTGCAAAAATTTTGTTCCATCACAATCGCTTAACTCTCTTCATGATCAACTAGAAATATATCGTGCCAAACACAAAAATAATTACACCAAGGCGAAAAACTGTCCGGTTACCCTACAAAATTATGCTACAATTAATAACAAACAGAATTTAAATGACACGTTCTAATTGAAAATGACTAAATATCGTGAAAAACATCGTTTTAAGTATTTTGCAAATCATGCTGGCATGGAACAACTCCAGATAAACAACTCTGTTACTACTGTCCATCTGGAACAGAAGTCATCAAACCCAGTTGATACAAATTATGATCTCCTTTCTGATCAAGAACAAAATTAAGCTTTATTTACAGCAATTAACACCGAGAAATTAAAAAAACCTATCCTATACCCAACCAGAGGAAAAAACGTTTTGGATCAAGTCTTGACGAATATGCAAGATATGTATAAACCAACATAGCATCTACCACCATTGGGACGTTCTGATCACCAATGCCTTCTCTTAGTGCAATAACAGAAAGAAAAAACACCAACAATTCCCAGAAGGGTAAGACTCTCAACACCTGAAAACTTAAATGTCTTATGCAGAAAACTTATTCGTGAAGATTGGTCGGAAGTCATTAGTGTAAAAGATGTAAATGAAAGAGTAAAC